CACGTGACAGAAGCAAAGCATTCTCAGAAACATTTCATTTCAAAAAGAAAGAAAGAGCGTTTTAGCTCTGACACATTTAATCTAAGTACTCTTCTGAGTACAACCCCCTTAAGCTGCTAACCAGAAGAAGAAATGAAGCTGGTACCTCCAGCAAACAACTCAGTCATTAATTGTCAGTAATTGTTTAATTCTGTAGTAGGTCAGCAAAGGTGTTTTGCATAATAGGTGGGAAAACCTTAATTAGTTATTTAATGAAATCTCCTTTTGCTTTAATGCAGGGATCAACCTATTTATTATCTCTTTCAGTCTCAAGTGTGCACAGAGAATTCAAAACAAATAAAATAAAATAATTTCTGCAGAAAACTAGGGTCCTTTATGATATTCCCAGATATTTTTGTTCCAGGCTACAACAGTAATCCTTCAAGGACCATATTCCTCCAGGCTTCCCTCTACCAAGGTAAAAGTAAAAAAGTTATACTAACACAGGCTCTCTGACTTAGACAGTATGTGGCTGGGAATGTTCTCAGTTCTGTATCATCAGGTAGTGTATACAGCCCTTCTTACAGTTAATGGTAGTCTATTGAATAATTTCATATGTATAGTTACACATAAACAAGCACCTTACTGGCCATTCATCTGTACTTAAAATAGAAAAATGCCAATTATTCTATCCAGCAGAATTACCTAATTTTCTCAGTTTGTTAAAGGAAGTGTTCCTTAAAACCTGTTCTCTCGCTTTTTCTTTCTCTTCAAGGGTCAAGGACAGGTGAGAGTGATGACTTTTAGTAGGTGAAGAATATGGTAAAATAATTATTCCTCTTCTTTTAAGTGGCACCTGAGCTCTGTTTGTACTCTTTTATCCATGCCAACTGCAATTATACTTGGATGTATTTGTCTTGTCTGGAGGTAACAGCAATAACAACTGTGGTAGAAGCTGCTCACAAAAAGGACTGATCTTTGTCAAGATCATTCTGAGAATATTTTATACCTTTTCTGATTTGACAAAACAGGAAATTTATGAACCTTTTTTTCCCTTTATTTTTTTTTAATTTTTTTCCTTTATTTTGATTTTCTTTATTGAAAACTAAGATTTTCAATAATTTGTGTCTCTGAAGAATTCACATTTTAGAATATCCCAGCCTGGAATCAATTCATCTAACATCAGCATGCAGTCGGAGCATCTCAGTTATCAGCACAACAGTGTGAGGCTCTGAGTATGGAGTATCAGCTAGGGAAAGACAGGTATTTTGGAGAAGATGAGCCAACTCTTACATAGGATGAATCATCATGTACATACTTCCACTACATTGATTCCACAATGAAACAAAGACAACTACATTCATATTATAGATACCTCAAGTAGGTCCCTGAAGTTAAATGAGATAAATCTAGATTCAAGTTACTGCAAAAAATACTAGTCAAAATATAATTTTACATTCTTAAGAGAAAGTATACATATTTGAAAGTCAGATGGCAGATACATTGTGAAGACCTGTATCTTTCATCATATAATACAGAAAAGCAGATGGCATTTATTAACATTCTATAATAAGTTTGAGAAGCCCCAGGCAAAACAGCAAACAAGATGCAAAGTTGCAAGCAATAAAACAGTTCAGCTCAGAAAGAGGAAAGTGCTGCAGGGGATTTACAATGCTAGAAAAAGAGGGATAAGCTTTTTCTGTGATGGGGAACAAACAAAAACCAAAACCAGTAGATTTAGGAATGACTTTACCACAGTTTAAGACAGAGTTGCAACTCAAGTCAGTGTATCTGCAGGTCAGGTACATCAGGGAAATAAACAAGGGAGGTATACAATGAATAAAGTAATGGTATTAACAGAAGGGCTTACCCTGCAGATAGATACCTGCTGATTTATCTGATACAAATGTATCCAAAAACCTATGTAGGAAAGCCATCCTGCCTGCTCCTATACCCTGATGGACACCAAGCTAGTTCTTGTTCCTTGGAAAAGAGATTTTGGAACCACTGTGGACAGTTCATCTTCTCATTGTTCAACAGAGTCACAAACACATCTGGTGCTGAAATGGTGGTGAAAAATATAGAAAATGAGACAAGAATAACAATCTTTCATGATCTGTGGATTATTTTGATCACTTCTGTGCCAAGAAAATGTAGCAGAATCAAAACAACACAGAGAAGCACGAAAAGAATGATTGGTGCTATGAAACTGCTTCTGTAAAAGAACTAAATAGATTAGGAGTTATGAGCTGGAGAACAGTTAAAATAGGGGTGTTATGAAAAAGATGTAAAAAATCAGTAGTGTCTTTCCAAGAGAGGAAGAATGAAGAACTTAAATAAAAAGGAAATACATATAAATGAATCTGTAAAGTTCTTTCCCCAGGATATGGTGAAGCCAAAATTGTAAAAGGCTCTTAAAAAATGAAATAAATTAAAAATTTTTAGGCAGCAAGTGCAGTTCTCCTGAGGTTGACTATAAGCCCTGTCGTTACCTAACACTCAAACTATCACAGAAGGCACAGGGAGAAGTGCACTTTTCTTACTCTTGCTCTGTTCCCAAGCATCCACTGCTGGGTCTTGTGTGGTATCCAAGAGTTGCAGTCTGACTTAAGAGGAGGGTGGAGAGCCAGAAGTCTTGCAGTCAGAAAGCCACACATAACATGGGATTACATGTCCCGAGTCAAAGCCAGTAAGCAACACAAGAGTTACAAGACCTCAACTTTTTCATTCATCTGAGTACATCCAAATCTAAAAGGTAAAATAAACTTGCCCTTGTTCTTGAGAGCGAGACTTTTTAAAAATCACTCAGCAAAACTCTGAGATGTTAAAACTGGTGGCCTCTCCAAATCATCCTGTAAACCCTGACATTTGAGCAAAGGAACGCAATGCAGAATTTTAAAAAATTAAGATAAATGTAAACTTGAACATAAATGCCAGTGAGCATGTAAGAGTAAGCAACAGTAACCAAAGAGAAAGGCTTGAAAACCAAATGAGATTTTTGTCTAGTAGTAGTAGCTGAGAGTAAGGTAGCCGACCATAAACAACTGGCCATGGGCCTATCTTTGTGTTGACTAAAATCAGCTCTTAAAAGAAACGTCTAAGACTCAATTTGTGAGTTTTAGCAAGTAGCAATTCTTTTATTACAGTGCATTGGACAATTTCTGTGTGCTGGATGCCCTAGGAATCGTTTCACCAAAAGTGCACACAGAGGTACCTTTGCTACAGTTTATATATTTACATTATGTGATTATTCATTTTCATTCCCTGCATTCCTGTTACATATTCATGACCTTTCCCAGCACTTATTAGCAGCACATATACATATCCTTATAATGTCTCTGAGAGGCTTCACCAAGGGTCTCTGGTGGTCGTTTCTGTCTGGAGCCCCCAAAGCAGTACCTTATGGACTTTATGACAATACACCTGGTTATAGAGTAACCTGGTGTTGCCTGTTTGGCTGCTTCAGTTCCCTTCTTCATTGTTTCTTTGCTTGGCTAGTTCCTTTAAATCACTTGGCTCAGCTATACATAATTTTCCATGGTACATTCCATTGCAAGCAGTACTAGTCCTGTTACATCTCAGAACTCTGGTATCATTTGTTTTCCCTGAGAAACAATATTTGTAGTAGAAAGACAGAGAGAGAAGGTTGTAGTGAGGTGAGGGTCAGGCTCTTCTGTTGTGTCAAGTTGAAGGGACAAGAGGAAAGGGCCCCGAGTTGCACCAGGGGAGGTTCAGATTAGATATTAGAAAAAAATTTTTTCACTGAAAAAGAGGTTAGGCATTAGAACAAGTTGCCCAGAGAGGTGTCAAAGTCAACACCTGTGGAAATGTTCAGGAGGTGTCTGGATGAGGCACATGGGGTTATGGTTTAGGGGTGATTGTGGTGGTGCTGTGTTGACAACTGGACTAGATGATCTTGAAAGTCTCTTCTAACCTGGATGATTCTGTGATTTCGTGATTCTGTGAGTATAAAAACAAGAAAGGCAGGCAAATACTGTGCACAGAAGAGATATAAAACCTCTTGTCATAAGTCATTAAAAATAAGATCCAGTCTTAGAACTGGTCACACACAGACTGAATATCCCTGTGCAGCCAAACTAACTTCACTTATTTACAGAATCAAGACTTAATGTGTTATCTTCTCCATCAAACAGCATACCAAGCTGCAGAAAGGCTTGTTTGCCCTAAAGACAGCAATGAAATATGAGTATTGTACTCTCAGTTCTACCGATGCTCTCTTTAATGATAAAACTATCAAATATGGTAGTTTGTTTTTACTACAACAATAATAGAAGTCTATCAGCATTTAAAACATTATGATAAACACTGATTTATTTTGGACCTATAGTTTGGGTTTCTTTCCATCAAAACAATACCTAGCAAGCCAGGATATAATTTCTTGAAATAGTTTAAAAAACATATTTCCCGTTACCCTGTGCATGCAGTACATTCTTATCTAGTGAACTATCTAGATGAGGAGCAAAGCAGGATGCATTGTTCTCTGAAGTTAATTGAGTTAGTTGTGAAATATGATCCTATTCAAACTTACTTTTTCCCAAAAACAATACTGCTAATAGATATTTTTTTATTTATATTTTTTTTAACCCTACATCTGCTGTAGATCATTGTTTGAAATAGGGAGATAGAGGTCAAATCTCTTCAATAAAGGATGCACTGAATTATAAGGTATTTTAGCACTCCCCTGTCTCTAAGCAGTTTTTATGATATTTCTCTTAAAACCTGTGTTAAAATGCATTTATCATCTGCTAGGTACAATTCACATAGGTAAAAATAACAAAAGAAAAATTTAAGAATACAAGTGTTATGACCAGGTTCTTTAACATTATTAGAGAGATGCCTCTGCCCAAATTAAGGTGCAAACAAGACTATATGCCAAAGTCAATAGTATGGATTTTTATTTAACAGTAAATGTAAGATAGAGAGAGATAGAAAGAAATAACAGAAAGAGAGAGCAGAGGAGAGATAGTGACAGAGAGAGGAAGAAGAAAAAGTATTATTACTCCATGGATTCCTACAGCATCCCGTTGATCCTCTTTGTGTGGCTTTCTCAGTGTGAGAGTCCCAGTCTTATTGATGTGATGGTTGTGGTCTGGATCTGTCAAGGGAAGTCCAGGGTGCTGAGGGAAGAAGCCTGTGTGGTGACGGAAGTCTGTGGGTGAGCAAAGAAGCACGATATGTTTATTATGCCTAGACTAGGTAGAAAGACCCCTGTACCTCCCCTGAGGCACGGAGTTTTACACTGGATGATGTAATACTGGATCAGAGAACATTTCAGGAGTCTTTGACACCTTCTAAGATGTTACAGCTGCCTATTACTGTCAGCACAGGTGAGTCCATTATGGACCATTATGGCTCATGGCAGAGATTAATACCTTCAGGCTACATGGGAATTGTTCTGGTAGTTCCCCAGAGGGAAGTTATCACAGCTGTCTCATTTGTGTTAAGACAAAGAAACACTGCTCCACCGCACAGGATTTGCCTCTTTCCTTAACCTGTTCAACACCCAGCTTGTAGCCTGAGGTGGTGGGTGTGCAGCCCTCATCACCTGGGCAATTTCTTTATACATCTTGATTACCTGAGCCATCAACATTCCACTCTTTCACACTTGTGGATACATTCTTCTCCTGGGATAATTGGACTACTTTATCTCTTCTCAAGTTCCCATCACAGTCCAAATTAGTAGGCATATCTGGAGGGGGGTGGACTTCCATGAGCAGTTGCTTCTTTGCACAGTTTGCTACAGTGGATAAAACTCTTTCAGTGATCTTAACAATGTTTGAGCCATTTAACAATTTCAGTCTCTCACAACAAGTAATAAATAAAAATTCGGAGAGTTCTAAATAATTAGGATTGTTCTGTCAAATTCTGATCATCTTTTCAGTAAAAGAATCAAAATAACTCAACAGTTCCATCTATTTCAAAGAGGAATCATAGTAATGAAGATTAATTTTATGAAACGCTGTCATTCCAGTTAACAAATCAGTGTTCTGGATTTAGTCAAGGACCTCTTTTTGTACCTTTAGGGTACCCACTTTTACAGTTCATGTTACTACAGAGTCAACATCATTGCTGAAGTGCAAAATGTTTCAGTTCCTTTGTTATCAGTAAATTCTTTCTTAGGATACTGATATTTCCATGAAATAAGAGCAAATATAGATGTTTAGTTATACATTTAGCATCATCGAGGATTCTGAATCCATATCCACCTGCAGAATGAAAGTTGCAGACTGCACAATTAAGGGTACTTAAATTTATTTCAGCTTGTGTAGGCTGCAGAAGGGTTTTACCTGCAAATAATCAAGGCTGTAAGTTGAAAGGTCTCCAAATTTTGGACCTATGTGGATTCCCATTCCCCTCTTTCAGAATACTTCAGAGAAACTGATGTTAAGCAGAATATTCATTCTCTATGGTTCCTGTAGAAGACAAATTGTGGCAGGACTGTAATGCATGCAGCTCACACGTTTGAAGAAAAGAGATAAGGGACAACTAGGTACCAGTGCTCTGTTTCTGTCTGGCCTTCTGGATTCAAATCACCCATAGAAGAATAATCCTTTCTCCTTTAGCTATAACTTCTGTGTAATCATACCAGTTTCAAAGCCCTAGAAATTGTCCCTCCCATAGACCACTTGAAATTCAGCTCCAAATTCTGTCTGTACATTCTTTGCTATGCAATCTGTACAATCAAAAGAAAATTTTATTCTTGAATCCTGAATTAACTATGAAGAGAGGGAGTTCCAAATAAACCTTCACCATGTTTACCTCATCTCCTACATTCACTGAAAGGCACTTAAAAAAATTCTTATTGCCAATTCATTTATAGATGCTTTCTAAAATTAAAAGTATGTTTTTAAAAGGGCTGGGGGTTTTTTATACATTTTGAGTTTTTATTATTTTGTAGACACTTTTTCTCTACTGTTGTGATTGGTGGAACTAGTGAACATCTGGTTGCAAACAATTTGTTGTTACTTAATATAATTTGTAAATACAAAATAAGATTACTAAAGTATTTATCATGTATGATTCAATTTCAAATAGACCTTGAAGTAATCCCTTTGATGGAAAAACCTCAAAAGTAGTGACATATTCACCCCAAATAATTCAGCCAGACCTAACAAATGCACTAAAGTAGAGAGGAGTTTGCATATTGCACAAAGAGATCATTTTAAATCCTTTATCACTTTGTTCACCTCTCCTGCCCTTCTTCATCTTCTTTGCAATTCCAATAAGGCTGCAACATCACTGCAACACAAAAAGCATTAGTGATTCTATTTAAAAGGTGCCAACCCTGTTGATCATCTGCCTACTCCATTATCAGTATAGAAACATGCTTTGTTTATATTCTGAAAGGGATATGGGAATTATTTTGGTAAGTTAGTGCTGTTCCCAAGTCTGTACCTCTAAACAAATCCAAACTATTGCTGAGGTTCTATAATATCATAATAATTTTCATTTTTTGAGTAAGCAGGTTATTAGTTTGGATTTGTATGAAGGCTTCCAATTTTCAGGTTGTCATCACAACTTACAATGGAGCATTAAAGAAAATCAACCAAATTACCAAAGCAAAATAATGCCTAAACTTTCTTGGTTTGAAGCATAATACTTCATTCAGCCACTCAGGATGATACTAGGAGATACATGTCTCTCATAACACCTCCATTGCATTTCTTTGGTTTTTACACAGCCAACACCTCTGTGCCATGGCTACGCCCCACATCTGGTCCCAGTGCTTCAGCCCAATCCTTTCCTGCTCAGATCCATCCTGGCAAGGCAGGGTGTCTGCAGGGATTCCTGGGTAAATTGTGACTTCAGAGAAGGCGAAGTGCTCAGAAATGCAAAGGAGCCCCTATTGCTAATCCTTCCACAGCCTACTCTGGTTACTTACAGTATGCTTTCACCAACCAAATACCTTAATATTTTATGTATTATCCTAAGGGGAAGGGCCTGAAGTTTTCTGTTTTAGAAAATACACTCAAATCTTTTCAGCCGATTATCATTTGGGAAAATAAGGGTTGGAAAGCACATGATAGATCAGCTGTATGCCCTTGTTTCTGTTTTACTATGCTGAAAACAGCAGTTAAGTCTCTATTTTGTCAACAAGAACACAATTTGTCAAGGGTTATATGACCCAGATCTCATAATTTCCAGTGCTGGGTTAAGCTCTGTTTCCTACCTTTCCAGATGATTAATGTGTTCAGTTTGCTGTACTTGGTCTCTTTAGTACATGAGAAGGAGAACTATTCCACAAGAGTCGTTATTTCTGTGCTTTCTCACAGTCCAATAAGTCCTGGAAGGTATTAAAAATCAGGCAGAATTACACAGAATGATATCTGAAGAGTTTCTGAGATGTTCAAGTGGTTGAAGCGTACCACCGAGTTACAAAGTGGTCTCACAAAGCATACAGTAGGTCACCATCTCATGAAGAACTTGATATAATCTTTATTTATAATTAAAGTGAAAGGAGAGAACACCAGATTTCCAGTCTGGACCAAATCTGAGAAAATTTCTCGAAATCTCTGTATCTGTGCTTATAATTCATCACAGAACTTCTTGGGTCTATCTTCAAGTTATAGTGCATACTAAATCAGGATTTGAAAGATGAAATGAAAATTCCCCCATTGACACATTCTTGCTCTTAGAAAACTGAGATGTTATCTGAAGATGTGAAGACAGGGCTACTGATGCCTGGTACCTTACCTCTTCATTTCTCTGCTGCAGAACACAGCAATCCTGTCAGTCTTCGGGCTTCACTGCATCTCTAACATTAACAACTGCCCATTTGCACATTGGCTAATAGCACTTCTTTGTGTTGCCAGCTGCTGACACCCTGCTTTCTCTACTTGACACTCCACTTTCTGTTGACTCTTAGTGAGAGGGACAGAACTGAAAGCCTTGGCATTTCGATGTGTGAAACAAGGTAATAGCTGATGAAGTACAATTTCTTAAACTGAGAAATTATCAGCTATATCCATGTTAGGAATACTTTCAGAACTCTCATTCACAGTGCTGTCTTAATGCTTTCTGAACTGAAGCCAAATCTTGAGAACATATCCATGCATAGGGAGCCCCTGGTGGTCTAGGGGGTAAAGGCGCCCCGCTGTCACCGCGGAGACCCGGGTTCGATTCCCGGTCAGGGCCACTCCCGGGCAGGTGGGGCTCGTTAGCCCTTAAAGGCAACCCACCTACGTCCTAAGGACCTCGCTGCCACTGTCCAAGCTCGCTTGGCCCCGGCAGATGAACCTTAGGATTAAAGGGTGGGCTCAGTTCCGCGCACACTGTGTCTCACCTAAAAAATCCAATGCGCAGGCTGGAAGGTGGAAAGACCTTCCCCGGATCTTCGCTCGCGAAGACTGGCCATTATTATTATTATTATCCATGCATAACCATGCTATGAGTGCTTACTGGGCCTTACTGAAGAACAAGCCTAATAAAGTTATGGACTCACTGGCAAGTGATACAGAGAACTCTGTGTAATTAAAATAAATGAGATTGTGTCACAGATTAAGAGGCATTTGCTTTCAGTGCTACATGGAATTTTTGACAGACATAAGGAAACAAAATTATTATTAACTGACATAATATAAAAAACCCAGCAATGTTAATAAATGCAATTTCATTTTCTTTAAATTATCATGAAGTCTGATAAAAACACTATTTAGAGAGGAAAAGTTGTCATGGTTATTTCCAAACTAACTTCATATAAAGTCCATTTTATCTCTTATTTTTCTCTGCAAATCAAAACCATGTTATTACAATTTCACATACTAGATTTCATACACTACAGGAAACAGGATGAAGACAAAATTTAGGAATACACTGGACAACTATGGGGTAAAATCTTGGCAAGGTGGAAAGCAAATCTGTCTCCAAACAACTATGGCTTTTGCTTGGTCTTCCTATGTCATGGTTTGATCCAGCAGGCAGCTAAACACCACACAACCACTCACTAACACCCTCACTGTGATGGAGAAGAGATTCAGAGTAAAGATGAAACTTGTGGGTTGAGATAAAACAGTCAGTCTCAAACATTGGGATGCTCATCCCACACCCTCTGACACACCCCTCCACTTCTACCAGCCATCTCCACCCAGTTTCATTGTTGAGCATGATGCCATGTGATCTGGAATATGCCTTTGGTCTTTTGGGGTCAGCTGTCCTGGTGATGGCCCCTTCCAGCTTCTTGTACCCTTAGTCTACTTGCTGGCTGGGCAGTATAAGAAAACACATAGATTAATTGTCCAGGCTCTGCAATGCCTTAGTTACAAGTGTATCTTCAACTTTATTCACAGTCTTCTTCAGCATGATGCTCCAATGGGCCACGGCAGACCTCGATGATGAAAACGGTGTCTACCTTCGATATCATACCGATGGGAGCCTATTCAATCTAAGGTGACTGAAGGCCCACACTAAGACCTTAAATCATCTTGTCTGTGAGCTGCTTTACGCTGATGATGCTGCCCTCATCGCCCACACAGAAGTAGCTCTGCAGCGTTTAACATCCTGCTTTGCAGAGGCTGCTGAGCTGTTTGGACTGGAAGTCAGCTTGAAGAAGACAGAAGTTTTATATCAGCCTGCACCTCAGGAAGTCTCCCATCATCCCCATATCACCATTGGTGAAACAGAGCTCAAATCAATCCAGCAGTTTAATTACCTGGGAAGCATCATCTCCTCAGACGATAAGATTGATGCAGAAATAGACAACAGGTTAGCAAAGGCATACAGAGCTTTCGGTAAACTCCATAAAAGAGTGTGGCAAAACAAACACCTGAAGAAAAGCACAAAGATCAGCGTTTACAGAGCCATTGTACCGTCTACTCTTTTATATGGGTCTGAATCGTGGGTCATTTACCGGCACCACTTGCATCTCTTAGAACGTTTCCATCAGCACTGCCTCCGTACAATCCTAAACATCCACTGGACTGACTGTGTGACCAACACGTCTGTCCTTGAACAGGCAGCAGTCATGAGCATTGAGGCCATGCTGCTGAGAACACAGCTGTGCTGGGCAGGGCACGTCTCCAGGATGCAGGACTACCACCTCCCTAAGATCATGCTCTATGGGGAACTTGCCACTGGCTGCCGCAGGAGAGGAGCCCAGAGAGGAGATACAAGGACTACCTGAAACAATCCCTCATCCTTGGCCATATTGATCACCACCATTGGTCTACCCTGGCCTCCAATCGGGAGGCCTGGAGACACACCATCTATAACGCTGCTGCTGCTTTTGAGAACACACGCAGGATCACTCTCGAGGAGAAAAGACAATGCAGAAAGAATCGCGTCTCGTCTGTATCACCTGGGGAGTCTTTCTGCTGTGCCTTCTGCAACCGGACTTGTCTATCTCGCATTGGCCTTTTTAGCCATCAGCGCGCTTGTAGCAAGCGTGGGTAGAGCCCTTCTCAAATCTTCGTTCGCGAAGCCTAGCCATGATGATGATGATGATGATGATGATCTTCAACATCATAGGAGCCAAGTAAGACTTCCATCAATCCCAGGATCCATATACCACACGGCACCTTTTTGTCTGGGTGGCAGTCAGCTCTAAGACTCTTTACTTCTGAGTTTGCTGCTTAGCCAGTTATCAGAGCCATATGCATTTCTCTGGTGCACAAATGAGGGTATTCATTCAAGTAAGTAAAAAGAGTTGCTCCTAAAAGTCTGCTACCCCAAAGGTGTATTTCTTAATCAAAATGCACAGAGGAATTTTGATGATTTCTGATAAAAGTAGTATTTCCTTACAAACAGCAGGAGTTGCAACTTTCTCTATATGCAATCATGAATTTATATGTCTGTGCTCTCATTAATGACATGTTATCTATTCAGCATGGAAATAATGTATGTGTTAGCTGCCACCTGGGTTAACGCAGTTGTTTGGTTCTATACTAACAAGTAATTTATATTTCCTAAAAGCTGCAGAATATAGAACCCAACAAGACATTAAGAGGTCAATCTAGTTCAATGGCTTGCACAAAGAAGGGGCAAACTGTCTTCAAACCATTCTTGGAAGAACCTTCCATAACCAATTTTTTAAAAATAAGACAAGAAAACCCTCCACAGGAACTCCTTGTGCTCCCCATGGGTGTTTACTGTGCTCCTCCCTGAGCACCCTATTCCACTTTTTAATTATCATCATAGCATAGGCTGTTCTTTTCCTAATATCCAACATAAAATTAACCCATAATTACTTCTGATTATTGATTTTCTTTTTGAAACAACCTCTTGGCTTTTAAAGAAGTATTTCACCTCTTAGTTTTCTATGGCTTGAACAAACTTCATGTGTTCTAGTATTTCCTCAGGTTTGCAAGAGACATGGAATCATACACATGACATGCAGAAGACTGAATCTTGCAGGACTTTTGGTATCTCCATTTTTCTTTTTCTTGCAGACATCTTGCAGAAATAGACCTATATTTATTATTCAGTAGTAAAGGCATGGTGAACAAAAAACATCTGTCACACTGAACTTTTGTGTAGTGGTTGAATGTTAGTTTCATGTATTTCTGTGCTTCAGGGCCTTTACTAAAAGGAACTATCCTACTGTGACTCAATATTCATCATTCCACCTGGAAATTCAGATACTAAAAGGAATCTAAATTGGGCTAGACAACTGATGCAGCATTTTTTTATATTCTAAACTAGATTTTGGTATTATTTTTCCCACTTTATATACATCGATCAAAAAATATATCAGTCACTACAAAATCCTCTGCATTGTTAAGAGAGCATCTGCTGACAGATGAATCCTTACAATCAAAGAATGAATGGAAATAAATGTTAAAGAAAACACTAGGTATTATGTTATAGATGTCTTGTGGGAAAAAATAAATCATGCTTTAAAACTAAGGCATTTCTTAAAAATTAATTTATATTTTTAATTTATTTTTTTTTCTCCATGTAGAGTCTTTCATCCCAATTCTTTCATCTTACTTTCCTGCTGCTAGTGGATGCTTTCTAGCAGTACACGAGGAGTCTTGCTGCATTTAATCTACCAAGCAACACATGATCTGATCATAATGAAAAACTACCTGTCTTCAAAAAAACCCAACTGACTAAATACATGGTGGGTATAGTGCAGGACTATTTTTCCCCCTTTTACTATTTAACACTTTTCCATCTAAAATTGATGTATTTTTTCAACTTGTTCTTCCAATTTCTCTAGACAATGGTGATGAGCAGCTGCAACAGTTGACTAAATCCTTCATACAAGCATTTAAGATAGGTGGGTTGAATCACTGTTTAGAAGTATATCTCTCTCTCTTCAGCAGATATCAAGAGAGGACCATGCCCTTCATACCTCTGCTCTTTAGTGTCTTTGTTCCTCTAGCTCCTTTGTTCCCAACTCTGAGATTTATTCTACCATCATCCCAAAAAGTGCACTTCCACCAGTGTATGAAGGAGTCTGGTATACTCCTTAAGTGTATCTCAGGGGATATTGTTGTTGTAATATAACTTCTATCATACCTTCCATACCTACCTTCTTTCAATTCTGTTCTTGAAACTTAGTATATAACTCCAGGATCACAGAAATTTCCACACATTGCTTACTACCTGATTTCACCTTTGCATTTTCCAGGGAGGTCTTGATTGTGAGAATCAGATTTCCAAGGCAATGTTCCCTCACTGTTCCCTGCTACTTTTTGTGGTTTGGATTTAAAACTTTTGGTACAACAGAGACCTTCCACACCATGCTATTTCTGTCTTATTTCAATGATATAGACAAACTCCAGTTTCAAATTAATTATGAGTGCGCAATGAAAATGGATGGTTCTACTTCATGACTAAACATTGTAGATCCCCTTTATATTCTTGAAACTTCTCCTTAGACTATGCTCTATAACAGTAAATGCTCATCAAGGTAAATGAAAGTTTTCTGATGCTGGTTGATATTTTCCATGTCACTTATCATTCAATAATGTTGCTGTTGAGACTATAACAGGAAATATTCAACTGAAAAAAAGGCAGAGGACAGAAGTAAGAATGGAAGAATGGAAACTAAGTACACACCAGACTCCTTTCTTCCACAGGAAAACTGTAGGTAATTATGCTATTACTGTGGGACAAGATTTTGACTGAGTAGGAATGCAAAGGTTAGTGTCTAAGAAATCTTTGAGCCATGCTACAGCCCAAACCCTCAGTATTTTCTTTCATACACTTCTGAAAAAAAAGTGGTTGTACCTCCTGCAGGGACACAGCCTACAGGTTTCCCTTTAGCAGGTCCAGGATTCCTGCTGTGCTGCTTTTCATTTGCTCTTTAATGCCTTTGTTTCTACACCTCCTTTGTCTCCATCCTTTTTCCATCCTCTAAAAAGGTGCAAGCCCACCAGATGTTTGAAGCAGATTATGTTTCTTGAGTGTGTCTCAGATTCCTTAATACACTTTAAAGAACATGTCAATGGTACAAATATAAATTATGCTGAGCTAAGCATATTTTTTAAAATGTGCAGAAAAGATACTGGGTATAGACACTCAGCAGTTGAAAGTAAGTAGCTGGGGTTGATTGACTGAAGGATCTCAGGCTTTGTTGGAGGAAAAAGACATGGACTTCCTAAGGTAGGTCCTGCAAAGCTAAACTGTACTGCTTAATTTATCATCCTCAGTCCTTTTGAGGTGGTGAAAAACAGTGGATGCAAGTTTTTGCACACTAAATGAGAAAACTAAATTAGTTTTTCCACTGACAGGTGAATTCAATTTGCAGACCACTAAAAATTAATATTATCATGTTAGAATGTGCAGCTATGAGGCTTTTTGGGACAAGCATCTCTTTTGAATTCTAACTGAGCATAGGCAGAACTAGAAACTGAGCCTCCAAGCACTAGGAAATCCTGGACAGAGTAGGATCATTGCTCAGAGGACAAGAAACTGTCACAGTCAAACAGTGAGACATGTTGGGTGGGATCTTTGACTTAAGCATAGGTTGTTCTTGTCATTTGCTCTCTTCTCATTTTCCCTAAAGAGTCTCGGCAGTCTGCCAGATGCTGTTCCAGAAGACTTGAGGTGGATAATCCTTTATTGTATTTTTTGCCTTTGGGCACAAATCTTGGATACCACAAGTTATATAGGATGATGTAATAAATCACTTCTTACATGTACCTAGCAAATATAGCTCATCTTGCAGTAAGAAGGGCAGCTGATTTGGGTGGTAGTTTTGGATGGATGTTTGCTGACAGACATGATGTTTCATTAAGTTTTTACAAGGCGTAACTGTGTTTCAAGATGGCTCGTTTCCATTGTGGTATCAGTCTCAATGGTTCTGCTCCTGAAATGCACACAAGAATTATACAAAAAGGAGACATTCACTTACAACACAACACCTACTAATAATCACTTCCACTCTTTTCTAGAAGTTAGTTCTCCTCACAAAAACACCACCTGTGGAAGTGACTTTCCATGACCTTTCTGAATATGCCAGTAAACCAGCTTGATGCTTTCTCAGCGTTTAGCTAAAATTTTTGTTGGCTGCAACTGAACATTTTCCAATTCTGTCCATAACTAAATAAAATTACTACTGCACTTGCAGCAGTTTTTGCCTCAGGAAGAGCTCTGAAATACCATAGTAATGGCAGCTGCCTCGTATAACTAACTGGCAAGGTTTTAAGCAAGGACGTGACTATTCTGCTTTCAGAAGTTATGCCTGTTAATATGAATTTTGCTGACAATATTCTTTGCTTTAAGTGTACTTACTGCTGACAATCTATATGGACCAGACTGAAAATTATTACTATTTTTAATAAAAAACTAGCAGCAGCAAACCTACAGGGACAATCTAGAGCAATATCTGTTGACTGGCAGAGAGAATCAGTCCTAATGATGCTTTTGTTTTGCCAACAATCATTCTGGCTTCTTTTGCAGTTTTCTCTGTAGCCTCAAGTGAAAACTGTACTTTGAAAAGAGCAAAATGCTAGATAAAGTGAGGAAGATTGTCCAGGACTCCTCAACTTCTGTGAAACAACTTTCATGCAGCAATCTGAAACTCAGCTTCTATCTGACAGCAGTTTTGAGCCAAATGAGGAGGGAGGGCACAAATTTCCCCCTCATCACTCCAGAGAAGCCAGGGTGACTTTGTACTGTGACTGTTATTACAATTCTAATCTCCAGATCAGATGCTCAAAACCTACAGAAAAGCAGTAACATATATGTAACTTAGAAGAACTGATTAGGAATTTAAAGTGTAATCAGGTGGAATTGAAGGAACTGAAAGAGAGTCTTTGCTGTTACACTATTTCTTGGTAAATAATTGCATGAAATGATGAAAAATGCATGAGATGCATCAAGGAGTTTCTCACCACTCACTGCACTAGTTCATTTAAAATGTTTTCCCTCGCTTGGGAAGAACTAAAGTTGCAGCACTGGCTATTAATAGTTCCAAAGGGATTCTGAAGTAATTTGTCACTGGCAGGTATTTAAAGTCCATAGCAACTTTTTTTCCCCCCTTCTTCACTTTGAGTAAATGAGATGAAATAGCACGTGTCATCCTCCATTTTAAGAACTGAAGAACTGCCACTTATCTATCTTTAAGGGCAGAAGACATAGAAGATAATTAAGCACAATTAAGCAGTATGGAATGCTAAGATCACAGTAAGATGCTTCTAAAAGCACAGTAGAAAGATACATAGTACCTCCTTTGAAAGCATCTACTCATTGAATCATAGAGCACCTGGTCTCCCATTGGTGCAATAGTTTTATTTTGTTTGTTTTTTTAACAAAACCTCTCATATTATAAAATTGCCATAATATTGATAATAAGTAGCTTTTTGTCAAAAAAAGCGTAACTGGTATTTCAAGAGTGCAGAACATATTTAGCAATGGGTGTAAATCAGAACATAGGTGAACAGATTGACAGGAATTATAGTAGACATTGATATGAAGAGGCAAACCGAGCAGCAGAACTAAAAAGTCTGTCATCTTCTGCTATTATGACTAGATTCCATGTATTTTCCTGCTGTGTTATCCGTAATAACATTCATAACTATTATGTGCTACCAAAACAACTTTTAGTATTAGAGCGAATGACTTCCTTCTGTAATATTTTTCTATTAAAAATGAGTTACAAACCACAACAAATAAAATGCACACACATCCTGCAAAAGGTATTCTGTCTTCCAAGTCCTTCAAAGATTTAGCTATGTAATGTTGGTTGCTGTGGACTGAGTTAAGGACTTAGTTTATGAATATTGGAGAGATAACCCTCTATTTATTACTTTAATAAGTTCTTTACCTTGTTATATTAGGCTTTTCACTATTCAGACTCCTATTATGAGATAGTAATGCTTTGTTTCATTGAAATATTTCTTGTTACTCATTCAGAGCTATCAAATGTCTATCAACATACTACATATTAATTTATACCCACAAAACAACTTGTATTTTATGTCTGCAACTTTATAAGGAAGGAATAACATCCCAGATTCACTTGTAATAAAACTGGAGGAGGATTTCTGGCTCAAGAATTTGGAGTTTATGAAAGCTCTACTTCAATCTACAGGCATTTCATTTGCCTTTAGAGCTTCTTGGGTCAAGATATTGCTATTTATTTCTATTAACAAATGTCTTGCCTAACAGACACTATTTTACAGGGATAACAAATTCTGGGGTTTGAGCCATTACAACAGTTCTGAACCCTAAAAGATTCTGATTTGGTGAATGTTATTGTCTCTTTTTTTTTTTTTTTTTGCTCTTGTATTGCTATATTTTGTACTGTTCTTGCAGTCCAATCTTGTCTAAAAATTGCATTTATTATTTTAAAGTACCAATTTACCTAATGAGAGAGTGAGACACAGTGCAAAAAAATATCAAGAAAGAAATTGGGAAATGTTCTTTAATCACTAACACTTATTAGCAGTGAAAAATAGCCTTTTTTTTCAGTGAAGGTTTAGGTCAGTAAGCCCAAAGGGAAGGAACACTGTAAAAATTCAATCCACAAATGATGCTACTGGACATTTAGAAAAAGGAAAATTGGGGTTTTTTGCCTGGAAATCAGTTGGAAGCTCCAAGTCTGTATATAAGCATGGAACCTACCACAGAAATGTATCTATAGACTGAAGATGAAAAGCCTAAGTTAATTAATATAGTTTAGTAATGTAGTTGCATTTTTCTATTTTTTTATTTGTTATTGGCAGACAAACTAAAGCAAATAAATCTTCATATCACAGCTTGTGAGAAACATCTTGATTGTAAATTGTGGTCTGTCAATTAATGTGTCTACTTCCCTGATGCATTCCTTCTTAAGAAGAAACAAGGAGGAGAAAAATAGGAAAAGTTCTGATACTTTTAAAACATTCTATTTTCACATTTTCATGAAAAAACATTTTAGTTTTCTTTTTTTTTTTACTGTTTCAGTGGAGGCAAAACATCTTTAAAATAATTTTTTACAAAGACATTTTTATATTCTAGATTTTGTTAAAAAAAAAAAAGATTTCATACAACATGAGATTAACTAGAAAGCCAAAAGCCTTTTTGAAATACAGTTTTTTCGTTCTTGGTGTTATCTACATACAACATGACAGATGCATACAATGTTTAATATATGCCAAAATGGTTCTGTCACAAGATGGCATATTAAAACCTCAAACCTACTCTGCTTGGAGCTAGTTGAATCACACTGAGCTCTAGTATAGTCATGACAAAGTTATAGTAAAATAAAGGGATATATAAATTTAGGGTTTTTTTCTAAAATTAAGAGATTGTGATGTGGGGCTACTGTACTTCCAGTTAGGTTTTATTTCTAAGGGATCTCACAAAGGCTTCTCTGTTGAGTCTGTGCTTGAGTATACTTGAGTGTTACTAAGCAGGTCTTCACAATTCAGCATATTGCATATCCTGCTAAACAGGCCAGAGTGTCTTTTGTAATGAAAGAAAATCACAGCCTAAGCCCAGTCATGGGCTTTCCCTTTTGCTGACAAGAGAGGCAACTCAACACTTCATGAATTTAATTCCTAATAAGATTTAAAGGAATTCTCACATTTTCCTATGTGAGTATACTCAGTTCCCATTAGCCAAGTCATTGGGAATTGGCATCACTCATTTTTAAAGAGCTATTAATTTTCTGCAGCCAGGACTATTTGGCTGGTTTTAGACTTCACTTTTTATCTCTCCTTTTAGACTTCCCTTTCCTTGAGACCACTATTATATGCACATTTCAGCTTCGTGTTTCTAATGACTACAAGGAAAGTTAAACCTTCCGGTGAAACTGGAGTGTTATTAAGAACTTTGTATTTTGGCTTAAACTGTTCTAATTCTGCTATCAGAATCTTACCTGCTCTCTTCCAAGGTTTTTGCTGAAGTGTGAGGTGACTTACACTTTTATTTCTCAAGTTCATACCTATAAGTGCATTAATATCTTTTTGTTTAGTCTAATGCCATTCATTTTACCATCACATCCAGAATCACTGTAAGATAAAGATGGACTTTCTCCTAGTCTCAACCCACCTTCCAACACCTTCCACTAAACCAGATTGCTTAAAACCCCATCCAACCTGTCCTTCAATCCTTCAGGGATGGGGCATCTACAACTTCCCTGGGCAAACTGCACCACCCATCTCACTACCCTCACAGCAAAGAAATCAGAAGATTTTAGAAGCCTATTTCTGGACTGAACCATTTGCTGCTTCATCTGCTTATTCATTCTCTTGCATTGTAAATTACCTCACTACACACACATACATGCTCACTACCCCCTGTCTAAGCTTGATAATGTTATCATTAGCAGGTAGGGGAATAAGATAGGGAAAACTGAGTAATTACCATCCTTTATTAAATTATGCAGCATTAATTAGTTGACTGGGTAATTCAGAGAGTGCGTCTGCTCATATCAGAAAGGTGATTTTCTGTTCAGAACAACATCTGTTTCACAACAACAAAAAAAATTAGTAGTATATGGATTATGTCACAAAAAGAGAGGTGCTGCATTCATCTGTCTCCCTGCCACTTGCATACCAGAAATAAAAAACAAACATCATTGTGCTGCAATCTCTCCAGGACAAAAAGGCTGAAGTAAATTTTGCAATTGAGTTTGATAGCAAATATAACATTTTGGATACATTTTAAGGGCAAGGGAGATTAATTTGGTTTCTAAAGACTGGTATTTTGTGATGATGTTGTTTCATTTCTTGTAATGTCCAAGCTTATTTTGCTTGCACTAAGAGAGAAAAAGATGGTTTTGACTGATGCTAGTATCAATTTGCAAATCATCAAAACACAGACCACTTTTTTTCTGCTGGGAATAAATGGAAGTTTGTAGTTTCTTATTCTAAGATGCATTGAATTCTTGTGCATGAAAAATACCACCACTGGTTTCCTTTGGGTCTTGTAGTTTATAGGCCTGGATCTACCATCGTTGGTTCAAATGTGGCAAAGACCTGGAAATGAATCCTTTCGCTTTGGTTTCACAGTGTCAATAATTACATGATACATCATTAGGCATTTGAAGCAGGTGAGAAAGCTGGTATAGCATTAAAAGCAGATGGACTTTTTCCCTTCTTAAATACTAGTGTTAGCAAATGTCTGTAAATCTCAAAGGGATTATTAAAATCAGATCTTATTTAAATAAAAAGGAAAATTGAAGTACTTTCAGCAATATTGTAATGCTTTTTCAGGTGAAGAAACAGAATCTCATCAACAGTTACTACGTGATTTGCTGTTCTCAAAAGCTGTAATGTACACCATATATCTATACATATGTATAGCACAAATATATATACACACAAATATATATAGATATATACATATACACACACACACACACGTAGATCATACTAATATATGTATATTGCAGAATACTGCAGTGGCAATGAATAGGGAGGGGAGTCAAGTAACCAGAAGCAGAATGTACATCTTTCCCAAGCTGACCAAACAGAACACAGTGCTTCCCTGTCAGTCACCAGACTTTCCAGGAATGGTTCCTGCCCTCCAGATGCCAGAGCTGCCAAGACTATCCAGTTACCTAATGAAAACATATGTAAGTTTTCCTTATTTGTTTTGACTCCTTTAAAAAGATAGCCTGTGAGCTTGCAGCTGCCAGAAATTAGTTTCCAGAAGGATCTTATAAAAAAAGAAATTGCAAGTGACTTTCATTTCAGAATTTGGTTTTCTAATGTCACCAGTAGCATGCACGGTGGATAAAATATTGAATACAGTTTCCCCTCTAAACAGCTGGGAAATGAAATGGCTCTAGCAACTGAGAAAGTAAAACATGTTTTGCTTTGCTTTGAAAGGTTTGTTCTTGTAGATAATTGAAAATTAACTCATAATTTCCTTTCTTTCTATAAATGCTGAGTGTTTTAGATTAATTACCTGCTTTGATGTTTTCTCACTCTCTTCCCTGCCCATCTCCTACCTCTGGAGAGAAATTTTAAGTAAAGAATATGGATTATAAATCATGTTAGTCCAGCTTGAGCTTGTTTCTTTCAGACAGTTTCTTTCACAAAACCAAAACCTCTAAGGGAACCCCCAAGCACTGCAACTTCAAGGTACATACAAGTCCTCGTTATTGTTAGAGGCTCCACTGCCCCTCACACAACCCCTATTAAGCAGTCTGACTGCTGCCTCTGGCTCTTCCTTTACATGCTAGTCAGCTTTCCGTTTAGCCAGGAAAAATAAAAGGAGGGAGAAATATGCAGAAATTCTGCAAGTTGTTTGCATTCCACTGAAATATTTCTTTAGCTGAAGGGAATCAAATCAATGAAATATAATGAAACCATATGCTCATTATTTCAAAATAGAGCAGCTGCTTCAGGGAGTATTGAGAAGATTTATTAATTCTACCAGCACTGCTCATTAAATCTAGGTATCTCCATACCTGTCTTCCTCAACAAAAGGTCCTCGATAGCAAAATCACCCCTGTGGAGTTCAAACTGATGTTCATCTTGGCATTCTTCCTATATTCTTTCAGGGTAGAGAAGACAATATGCTGAGCTGATGCTGCTGGAGAAGTGGAAAAAATCACCTATGTGGAAAAAGCTGTCTAGCGTGGGTACAGTTTGGAAGTTCTGTAAGAGGTATGTGTGTTGGCAAAGACTGATTCTGCCTGCTACGGACCATATGTGCATTTAATTGAGTTTACAAGTTTCCAGGCAGAATGCCAAACGGACAGTCTACCATCTGATAAGAGTTGATGAAGTTTTTCCCCTCTTGTTTTCTCACAAGCTTTGGTTTCATAGAGATTTTGAGAAGTAAAAAAATCTGTCTTTCTCTGGGATTGATGCTGGGATATATATAAGTAATCAAACAAATATATTACAGAAGTCCAAAATACCAGATTAACTGAGAGGTTATACCTTTAACTGTAATACTGAATCTTGAATAAAAGATATAAATTAACATGTATACCCCTCCAGCAGTATTATCTGAGTCACAATTGCTCCCACGGTTTTCTCTTCTAAGGACAGGGAAATAAATTCCAGGAGCTGGAATAGGCTCAGGAAAAGAGAATTAAGTAAGACACCAAAGCAGACTGAGGGGCTGTGTTTGAACAGATGCTGCCAGCTGATTTCCAAATCTTAATATGGCCTGGGAACACCTCGTTCCAGGCATGTCTGTACTGTTGAACAAAGAGCTAGGTGCCTGTTGTACAATTATTAGATTGCTTCTTGGCTCTTTGTGGAGGGGCTCCAGCTTTCTCCTGGCACTGGCTCTCCCCAAGCCATACCTGCCACAGAGCAGCATAGGACATGCTGTGTACACTGTAGTCATGAGTGTTTGTGCTGGTGTGAATTATCCTTGTGGCATTTCCCCTTCTGGTCAGTACAGAGCTGCTGGATCTCTCGACAAGACCTGGAGGAGGCACACTAACCACTCTCATGAAGACTGCTCAGAAGTTTTCATGATCAAAAGAATAAGATCCCCATAAGGGTGAGGCACAGTATCTTCCATGAGAGAAAATCGTACAATCCTGCACCTAACTTTTTTAACATGCAGAATAAAGGTAATATAAGGACTGTTGTTCTTTTGTGCAGTGATAGATTCTCAATGCTTAGGTTGTGGTTTAAAAAGCTTTTTCAGGAGGTCCTTAGAGCAGAGTACATCAAAAGCTGAGAATTCTCAAATTAACTAGGATATGGTCACCACACTAGGCATTTTCAGTGTGCATTCAGTCTCCAAGGAGAGCTCTCTTTTATCCATAAGGTGCAAATTTGATGGCTATGCAGTCTGAAGTCTGCTGACCAAATCTCTCTCACTGGCAGAATTTCAGCCATAATCCAGATTTGCCAGCAATACTGAAAAGGAAACAGTAGTAAGGCACTATAAAGTAGTCTGAAGAAACTTAGAGGATGGTAACCCCTAAAAACAATGAGCAGAGGTTAGATCTTACAAAATACAT